AAGTATAGAAGAACTCATCCTGAGTGTAGCAGATCCCGGATTTCAGATCCTGGATCCCGAATCCGAGAAGACATGATCTCGCCTAGACAAGTAGGGCCTGGAGAGACGAGAGCTCAACCTAGTGAGCAGACCCGAATTCCAGATCCCGGATCCCAGAAGACATGATCTCGGCCCTAGATGAGTTGGTCCGAGAAAAGAGAGCTCAACCTGAGTGAGCAGATCCAAGATTTCCAGAAGATAAGATCTCGGCACCTGACTCCGAGAAGAGAGAGCACAATGAGCAGATCTAGATCCCAGAAGGAATAAAAAGGAATCACACAAGATCAGACTAAAGATGGTCAGAATTGAGAAGTATGTTAGGGCGAGGAGGACATGTCAGGAACAAAGCGTCGGAACAAGAAAGAGAAACGGCTCCCGATGCGAGGCCGAAAATCAAACTCAGGTTGGAGCCAAGTAAGATCAATAGAGAAACCAAGGCCTGGCAAGCCTCGGCTTGAATTAAACCTCGGCGACAAGGTTGAAGACTACATGTATGATGAGAACCCAAGTGATTTTAAGTTCACACTTGGGGGGCCGTAGAGAAGAGAGATGCGTTTACCACTTTGTTGAAATTTGTAGCAATTTACAAGTTTAGTTTAAACCAAATTATGCTTAACAGAGTTAAACCGAGACGATGCTTAACCGAAGTTAAGACGAGATGATGCTTAGCAGAAGTTAAGCCGAGATAATGCTTAACCGAAGTTAGCCGAGATAATGCTTAACCGAAGTTAAGCCAAGATGATGCTTAACTGAGTTTAAGCCCAGATGATGTTTAACCGAAGTGAAACCGAGACGATGCTTAACTGAAGTTAAGCCGAGATGGTTCCTTACTTCATTGTTGAAATTTGTAGCAATTTACAAGTCGAAGTTAAGCCGAGATTATTCCTTAATTCACTTGTTGAAATTTGTAGCAATTTACAAGTTGGAATTAAGGTGATTCCTTAATCACTTGGTGAAATGTTGTAGCAATTTTACAAGTTGGAATTAAGCTGATTCCTTAATTCACTTGTTGAAATTTGTAGCAATTTACAAGTTGGAATTAAGCGATTCCTTAATTCACTTGTTGAAATGTAGCAATTTACAAGTTGGAATTAAGCTGATTCCTTATCTTCACTTGTTGAAATTGTAGCAATTTACAAGTTGGAGTTAAGCTGATTCCTTTCTTCACTTGTTGAAATTTGTAGCAATTTACAAGTTGAAGTTAAGCCGAGATTTACTGTTTCTCTTCACTTGTTGAAATTTGGTAGCAATTTACAAGTCGAATTGAAGCCGAGGTATAGTTTTGCACCCTTGTAGCAATCTACAGGTTGGTCCAACCAAAGAAGATGCTCAACACTTGTTGAAATTTGTAGCAATTTACAAGATAA